TTTCTCGGGTGAGTTTTTTCTCCCTTATCCTGCCCAACCCCTGCAACTCTTGAAGAGTGTGTCTCTGGGTTTTCCATATTCCCATTCATTAATCAACTGAAACACATGAAAAGTAGCCCCTCAGCCGCGGATCTGATAATAATAATCAACATTAATCAGTTGGCCTAAAGAGGCTCAGCCCCGAGACCATCGATAAATGAATTGCGTCTGTGGATGCCTTCCGTCTCAGCTCAGAACTGGCTCTGCATTAGTGGGGAGTCGCCTCTGCCTCTGCAGCAGCATCATCAACAGCCATCATTATGGGCCAACCATTTTTCGAGTGTTAGACATGGCTCGGGAACTGTTTACCTTTTCGAAGCGGAGCGGAGCCTAATTGATGACGCCCAGAACCCGGCGGTGTTCCCTGCCCCAAACTGCACTGCGAAAAATAAGAAATAAACCATTCATCAAAGAGAACTAAATAGATAAAAGACATACTAATTGGCTTTGCGAATTTGTTCTAATATTTTAGTTGCTGTTTTTTTTTTTCAGTGTACACTTTTAACCCAAGGCAAACTCGGGTTAAATGTGCCCCTGCCGTTGGTGTAGATTGTCGAGATAAGTGTTGGCTCCAATCGGGAAGCATCCCCTCAGACAGATGCTATCTGGGACTCCCCTCTGAATATTTCGACTGTGATTTGTATCGCTTGTTGGCTTCTGATGTTTTATATTTCATATGTTCCTTCCATATTTATTTACATTTTAATGCGGGGAAAATTCCATGAATATTTGCATTTGTTTTGGGAAACAGCTCTACCCGCTTTACCCAGGAGATTATAATCGAAATATATTTTGGGACTGGGGCTAGGAATTGTCAACTCAATACAATTTCGTTTCTTTATTTTTGTTTATTTTTGCTTATGCAGACAGCAGCAGTGGAAAATCCTGCCAATATCTGCAGAAGGCCGAGCTGCCGAGAAAGTCTCGGCTTCTGCCCGACTAATTCCTATAAACGGTTTTCCACTCATCCACGGCTTGACCCACAGAGCGAGAGAGAGAGAGACCCAAAACAAACACATAAATCACTGGAAAAATAAAGAACAGCACCGAAAAGTAAAGAAAATAAACCAAAACAAAAGAAACAACAAGAGAAGCAGGCCAGCAAAATTAAAAAGCAATCTGCCCCGGAAGAAGAGTCGCTCGTCCTTCCTCGTCCCTCGTCCCTCTTCCTTTGCTCTACTCTGTGTGTGTGTGTGTGTGGCCTTTGGCCAATTTTCTTATTAAAAACAACAGAGAGCCGAAAAATGTTTACCAAACACAATTCCGGCAAAGTCCTTAGTCCACAGCCACAGCCACAGCCACATACTCGAGCAGGAGTACAGGACCAGCCCACACCCAAGCCGTAAACTGTAAATAGAGCGCGGAGTGCAGTGAAAGTGCGGCAGGACAAATGGACAAGGACACTAAATCCCTTGCACCACATGCTGAGAGTCGACTCTAACTCTAAATCTCGGTTTGAGCCACGGACAGTGGGCGGTCCTGCCATGAAAACGAGCCTCGAGAAGCCTCGCAAGTGCCACAAGGCAGCAACATTTTCGTGTGGCCTTTGTTTTTCCATGTTTTTCGTTAGTTTTTTTGTTCTTTGTGTGACTTTCACTTGGCTCTGGTATACGTATAAATATTTGGTCAGGCTTTGATTAGTGGCCACTGTCAAGTGAACAGAGAACCAATTTTCTGCCAGCCCTAAGTCGAAATCTTTAATCGAAACTTAAAGGCGTAGCCTTTAGCAACTGTGACGGGGGGGGTGGTGGCATGGAAGGAGACTTCCCAAACAACAACTAACAGCACAAACATCAATCAAGCCTTGAGTTTGGTTTGGGTTTGGGTTTGGGTTTTCTTTTTTTGGATGCTTGTACTTTTGTCAACTTCTTTGCCAGAAGTGTGTGTGGGACATCGTCTTGAGCACTCGCGCTTCTTTGGAAACCCACCCACAGCCCGTTCCACAGTTCCAGCATCCCACATGCTCTGCTGCTGCTGCTGCTGCTGCTGCTGCTGCCTCCCTGCCACAGTTTGCCTCACGGCTCCCACATGATTTACTACAACATTTCCTGTGGCCGCACTCGTCTCTGGCTCCTGGCTCCTGGCTCGGTTCCCTGCCATGTTTGACTTGATTTCGTCTAAATTGAGTTCAGTATCAACAGAAAATACTTCCGTTTCCTTTTAACTCCACTCCACCCGCCCGGCAGTGCTGCTGTCTCTACTCTTCATTTCTGTACCGTTCCATTCCGTTCCGTTCTCTTCTCTTCTCTTCTATTCTGCTCTGCTCTGCTCTTCTCTGCTGTGTGTACCTTTGCTTTGCTTGAAAAAAAAAAGAACTTCCAACTAGCAACGGTACTTTCTCTGCTAGTTTTCGGTGACGGTGTCGCTGTCGTCGTTGTCGCTCCCTTGCTCTGGTACTCCCTCTCTCTCGCTCTCTCTCTCTCTCTTTCTCTGTGTTTACTATGGCAGCAGCTCGTCTTCTTCTGGCTCCTGGCTGCTGGCACCTTGCCTCATCGTCGAGGTGTTTGCTTTATTTTGAATGCTTTTTATGTTCAATTTGTTTCAATTTAATGTTGTTTTTGCTTTGCCAGCTTGCCAGAGATCAGACCCCGACCCCGACCCCGACCCCGACCCCGACCCCGCCCAGGATGCGTCTCGTTCTATTTTACATGAATTTCAAATGTGTGCGCACCTTGTATGATAAATGGCATTAAGGGATTTGCGTGAATAACTCAGTTAGGACTTACACTTTCTAGCTGCCAAATCCGAAGGCCACACAAAAAGTGCAGCAAATGCAAAATGGTAGAAGGAAGACACATAATATATTTTGATAGGAAATCTGTAAATATATTCTATCTACTATGTCCTTCTACATATTTATAGCGCCACTTCACAGACACCTGAATTCGGTTCCAATTAAAAGCAATTCAATAAATGTTTCTCGTTTCTCCGTTTCTGTGAAATTGCGGCGCCAATGGACTGAATGGGCCAGCTCTTTTACTCCTAACAACAATTCCCACTTGTTAGCCAACGAATGAGAAAAATATACATTGAAAACTCGTATTGGAAACTCTCACAATGACTAAAACGAAAAATTTATGCGTCTAGTTCAAATGAAACATTAAAATTCCATTAGCGGAAGCGTTGCACATAAATTTGTGCTGCCCCCCGCTGGCAGGGGAATCGGCTCCATATAATTCCGTACAGCTGAGGGGTGGGCAGGGGGGGAGGGCCCATCGACAAATGACCAAAAAACTTTGAATTTTGTTTAGCTTTAATTGCAGTTGCAGTGCGGGTATTTATTTAGTGCTCGGGAAGCGATAATCGAAAATAATTTATAGAAAATAAATATTTCCACACAATGGCCCGCCCTCGTCGATGGGAAACTTGAACTTCTTTTCCGTTCGCTTGGCATTTTCTTGGCACTTTTTTCCACCCTGCAGTTTCCCTCTGCATGGCAGTTGTTTATTTAAGTTGTCATTAGAATGGGAGAAAAGCAGCAGCAGCAGCCCTGCCAGCCCTGGCTGTATAAACTTTTTAAATTATCACCGAAACGCTGTCTGTGGGGGGATTGGAGCTGGAGCCGTGAGCCGTGAGCTGGGTGCGGCTCCCACTTGAGGCAGTCGTTGTCGTTGCTGCGATGTACATGGAAATCGCATGGCCATGTGAAATTAAAATGGAAATGGTGGCAACCAACTCAGTTCCCTCTCCGCTTCGACAAGTATCCCCTTGCAGAGGGAAGCGCCAGTTCTGTGAATGATTTCGTTGTTGTTCTTCTCCATCGATGGCGCTCCGTGCAGCCGGAAATGCAAGACAGTATTTTACATATCCACTGGAAGCTTGTTTACATTTTGCAACTCAGACGGGGGAACGAAGATCAAGCTGCAAATGTAAGGAAATGTAGCGATGTACAGCGACAATAATCGGGAGGAGAGATCATGGGAGTGCACATGAGCGAGTGTTTATTGTCCATTTTATTTGGATAATTGGCATAATCAGTTCCATGTCGAAAGCAACTGGATGCAGAGGCAAACGAGCTGATATGACGTCCAGCGACAGTCAATCTGCACTTCTCACACTCCTGCCACATGCCACACACACACATTATCGACCAATAACCATAAACTAACTACGAGCTTAAGCAAACTGCTCACTCTTTGGGGGTGCCTAATGTCCTGCTTTGACAACAAGAAACACAACAGCAGGCAACCAGCAACAGGAAAGGCGGCCAGCACGAAGGTAACTTTAAAGCCGCTTAAGGCGCTTATGACTATAACCAGAAATGCCTTGGCAAACGAAGCAGTTCAAGTCACACAAACACAAGGATTAACACGGACGAGGCTGCCTCTCAGTGCTCTGTGTACACCTTTTGGGCAGCAGGAGCAGGTGCCTCATGCCAAGGATAAGATGCATAGAAGGCCAGCAAAACGTAAGAGCAAAAGGCGATTCTGTCAAAATATTTACGATGTCGTCGTGCGAGGACCAGCCAGCCGCACAATAGCAACAGCCAGGGCCAGGGCCAGGGCAAGGACACGGCACACAGGATATGTGTAGCACATGCTATTTGCGGGCTACACTTTTCCAGCCATATGAGCGACCTCAGCCAGGGCCATTACTTAGCCAAGGACGCAGCACGAAGAGGCTCAAAATTGATTCATATTCATCTTACTGCCAGCTCCCAGAGGCGTGGGCGGGTTTCCTTCGCTGGCAAAACATTGTCATGTAAAATTAAAATTTATGGCTAATTTGTGTGCGTGAACGTGAATTTGTTGGCTGTCCCTTTTGCTGTCCTTTTCCCCTACTTGAAACGGACGTGCCTGCGTCTTTTGTCTCATTTCCATTTGCCAGTTACGCGTCGTAAATTTCCTTCCTCTTCCAAGGCAAGTTTCGCTGGAAAAGTAGGAATGAAAACCCAAGGGCGTGACCTGTAAACTATGTAGAATAAAGTCAAATAAAATACGCATTTCGAGGGTTTTCTTTTGTATATTTGTGTGTGTGTGTGTGTGTGTGTGTGTGTGTGTGTAAATCATCATGTTTTAATCTCTCCTATAAAAAATGCATACAAAATGATCCAACGATATGCAGTGGCTGGACAAATTCTCTACTCGTAAACGCTATTGATAAAAATATCACTATATTTGATTTTTCGGTTGCTGTTTGGCTAGTGGATTGATGGATGTTGCAGCTAAAACTGTGTGCTATGATTATTTATGTGATAAAAGTTGAGTCTTTGCTTCAATGATCTTAGGAGTAATTCTACATAAATGTAATATGTACAGGCGAAAATTCGATTTGGCAAATATCCGTATAAAAAACTAACTAAACGTAGATGGAAGGTGCGCCTCGGGCACACCCCCTAGAGCCTAGACATAGCGCGTGATCTGCGTGTAAAAGTCGGAGAGGCAGGACTGCAGCTGCGCAAAGGTGGGACGCTCCCCGGGCAGCAGAGCCCAGCAGTAGGCCATGATGGTGAACCTATTGAAGGAGGAGAAGCGCGTCAGGAGATTCAACTCTCTCTCAGTTACGTACTGACTCGAAATACTCACAGCTCGTCGGGACAGTTGAAGGGCTGGGCCAGGCGATAGCCGTCCTTTAGGTAGTGCTCCATCTCGAAGGGATCCACCTCGGCGTAGGGCTGCTTGGCGGAGGTGCACAGCTCCCACATGAGCACCCCGAAGGCCCACGAGTCGCTGGCCTCCGAGAACTGTTTGTGCTGCAGCGCCTCCAGGGACATCCACTTCACAGGCCGATTCTCGCTGTCCCCCAGGCAGTTGTAGTCCGAGGGAAAGAGATCGCGCGACAGCGAGCTGTCCGAGAGTTTCACTCGCAGCTGATCGTCGATACTGAAAGGAAAGAGTGGCCAATATTCAAGCCGCTGCTCTGGCAGATCCTTCTTTTCCTTCTCTACTCACACGCAGTTCCTTGTGGCAATGTCCTTGTGCACCACGCCATGGCTGTGCAGGTGATCGAGTGCCATGGAGAGCTGTGAGGCCATCATTACGATCTGGATGGTGGTGACGGTGCGAGCGCAGGCCGGGTCCAGCAGGAACAGCTTCAGATTGCGCGTGTTGTTGGGGGCGGGATAGAGCACGAAGGGCGTGGTGTGATCCTCAATGGAGACGCCCAGCACCGAGAGTATGCCCGGATGGGAGGCACCGTAGAGCAGCATGCCCTCCTGGAGCAGCAGCAGCACCTGCATCTGGCTGGCATGCTGCGCCACAGTCTTGACCAGCACGTCCTGATTGTCGTTGTAGGTGCCCCGGTAGACGCGGCCAAAGGTGCCCTCCTGCAGCAGGCTGGACAGGCGCACGCGGCACCGCTCCACCGTCAGCTCGGAAATGCGACGATGCAGCTCCTCGGGGTGCTGTTGCTGCTCCACGGCAGCCCCCAACTTACGCGGCAGCGATGCCGCATGCAGGGGCGCCATCATCGAGGGCGTCATGTAGGCCGCAGAGCCGGAGCCACCTCCCAGCGAGGCCTGGCAGGGATGCAGCGTGGGATGTGTGTTCAGGCGCTGGAAGCTCGAGGTCCGCATGAGCTGGCCCCCATGCTGGTGCTGCTGCCGCTTGTTGGCCGCTCCCCGCACACAGTAGGCGATCATCAGGAGGAAGCAGACGGAGCCCATGGCCACGGAGACACCCACCACGAGGGTGATCAGACCCGTTGGCGGCGACAGCACAGTCTCCAGCATCAGCGGATCGTCCACATCCTCCCCAGAGCCGATCCCCATGCCGCCTTGCTGCTGCTCCCCGCCTCCCGCCTCGCTCTCATGGAGCAGACAGATTTTCTTGCGCCGAAACACCAAATGGGTGACATTATTCAGCGAGCGATTGAGCACCACCTCCAGGCTGACGCTGACATCCACCTCCGCGGCACGCACTCCACTGCACCGCAGCTCAATGGCCCACGTCTGGATGTAGGTGGGAATCTCCCCACTGTGCGAGACATTCAGCGACGGACGCGGCAGCACCTCCGGATCCGAGCTGACCACATTGATGCTGTACGGCAGCCCACGTCCCGCCAGCGATTGCCACGTGAAGCTGATGTCCCGCACATTCGCGGGCACGGGCACAATGAAGTTCAGGGCATAATTGTTGATCAATCCCTCGCGGACGTAGTACACCTCAGCGGAGACACCTGGAAGCAGAGAGAGAGAGAGAGAGAGAGAGAGAGAGGGAATCGATTAGGAATTGAAGCTGCAACTGCCTGGGAGCCCAGCAGGTACTTGTCTTTCTCCGAGTTTTGTTTGCTCAACCGTCGACTGGCAACATTTTATTCGAGTATAAATAAATAAACATGGCAGAGCAGAGCTCGTTCTCCGATTTTAGGGAATTCCTTGGAAACTATTTTCGGCTTTATCTGCTGCCTGTCGTATCTGTATCTGTATCTGCATCTGCATCTGCATCTGTCAGGGACAGGGCACAGTCACAGTCACAGCAGGTTTTCAGTTGAAACCAAAACGAGACAAGCCCAAAACAAAACACAACAAAGTAAACACAAACTGAGATTTCTTTCTGCCTGTCTCGCTGTATCTTCTACATCTCTGTGGAATCTGCCTGTCTGTCTGTATGTCTGTCTGTTTTTGGTTTATTAAAATATTGTTCTTTGCGGTTTGACCCGGTTTCAGTCTCAGAGTCTTGAGTCTTGAGTCTCCAGTTAATGAGGCATCTTCGGCAGTGCCTTGCTTAGGTCTGCCAACTCATTTTGTCTTGTTGTGATTTCTTATGCTAATGATAATCAGGCAGGTAGCAGGACCACACACGAAGCCAGAGCCCAGATTGATTGGTTTTCTTGCATTGAAATCTTTGGCTGTGGCACAGGAAATAATTCACAAGGCACTGGCACACTTCCTTCCTCAACTGCTCCTGGCTCCTTTGACAACTGGCAATAACAATAAAAATCGGCAATGGCTCCACTGGGTGGCACATAATTTGTGTCTGGCTGTGGCTGCCCAGCGAATGTGCAACATGTGGCACGTTGTCGTCTGTGGAACAGCGCCCATGACTTAATCAAATGCAACGCGTTCCGTCTGCAGCCAGGGCACAGGCCACCCAATGACCTCCTGCCTCCTGCTCGAGGCAGCACACGGAGACTCGAGACTGGAGGCTGGAGTCTGAGAGTTCACAGGTTCATGTGAAAGTTTCGCTTTATTGCATTTGTAAGCGAGCTCAGGGTAGCCCCTAAAAGGGTTTGCTGCGAGGAGTGGCGTCTTCGAGTGGCATCGTCGTCGTCGTCGTCGTCGTCGTCTGCCCCATGTCACGAGCAAATGTCACTTGCCTGTGCCTGTGCCTGCCCGCTGCATGTGTCGGGCTCTTGAACTTCTTTAACCTTTTTTTTGTATGTTCATAACTGGCTCTGGGCTCTGGCTCTGGGCTCTGTTGTATTTGTGCCTCCTTGATGTCGGGCGTGGAGTCTATCCTCGACTCTGGCTTGCATCTCTGCCAGCATATCGTATGTCGAATTTTCGGAGCGTGCAGTCATGATGCTGGCTTCTGCGAGTGTAGCTGCACAGCGCGGAGTCGTGACCATTGTTGCACCGTGAGGGACAGATAGAAGTAGCTGCAACTGGAGCTCTGGAGACACTCCACTCAAACAAAAATGTTAAAATGTTTTGCGGTTTAGTTTCCATTTTCATGTAATTAGCGTTGCAATTCGTGAAGTGCTTTCCGCAGCGTCGATTTCCTATGCTGATTTTTTTCCCAGTCACAGATGCCAGTCCCAGTTCAGGGGTCAGCTGAGGGGCTGTGCATTCTCGTAACTCTGGCGGGAGGCTGCTGGTGCAGGAAGTGGGGCAAACATGTGGCGGAAACACACATGTGAGAGAGAGAGAGAGAGCGCGAAGCCACCCTTAAAAGCTAAGCCACACTGTGAGTGGTTGTCTCTGCTTTAATGCTACGTTTGCAGCGATTGTTGCAGACAAATAAAGAGTGCCACAAGTATTACTAGGGGAATATATTCTCCATTAAATGGGACACAAATGTGCCTATCTGGCCGTCTTGTAGCTGCTATCTGCTGTCATCAGTTTGCCGCTTAGACAAATAACCCAGACTCAGCCTGTGACTACAATTCAAGGCAGAACCCTCTGCCCGCTGCCTGTTTGTATCTTTTCGACAATCCCCAAGACCAAATTGCAATAGATGGATGATAAATGATGTACAGGAGACTCCATCTGCACCGTGAACCGCATTGAACTCAGCCTCAGCCTCCAGCTCCATCTCTAAACCCCATCTAATGGCTAATATGTCACTTTGGCTGCTGCATTGGCTCTAACTCCGGCTCCAAACTTCACTTTGTGCCTGTGGGCAGGGGCAGGGCCAGGGGCAGGGGCAGGCAGCTCTGGCTCTGTGCAGTTTGTGCCCAAATCGAAAAATAAATAAAACAAATGATCGGCGCATGCCAGGACTCCACGCACAATCAGCCACCCCCCCAGAGAGAGAGAGAAAGAGAGAGAGAGAGACGCCCACCACATGTCAACATTTAACATGCTTTCCAGCCACATCATCTCCTGCCCGAACAGCCGTATCTTTGTATCTGTGAATCGTCGTTGCTCAGTTGCCTCACGTCGTCGTTATGATAAATGATGCCCCCACTGTCGTCTCAGATATTATTTTGCGCTCACTGAGGCTCCGTTTGCCGCTCGTTTCCTGCCCTGAAGCAGCAGCGTCTATGGGCTTCGGGTTTTGGGTTTCAGCTTTTGATTGTTACAAATTTGTTGGCAACAGAATTAGCCATATCTTAGCTTCAGCTTTTGGCACAGTTAACGCCGAGCAGCTTCGGTTCTGCCTTCCGGCGCTGGCTATGGCTTTGGCTTTGGCTGCGCGGCTCTTAAAATTATCCCCAAATTAATCATTCAAATTGTTGGAGGCTGACAAAAAACGCTGTGGCGTTGAGCGGCTCATTGTAATGGCCAAAATCAATAGTAATTAACCTTAATCGTTGGCCAGTTTGTCGCTTGGTGTTGAAGTTGAAGTTGAAGCTGAAGATGATGCGGGTCAAGAGCGATGAGTGAGTGACGTTGTGTGTAGATATAAGTGGAACCTAATATTAGATACAAAATGTACAGTTTGTAGCTCTGGAGTGGCAGTGTGGCTGTGGCACAGTTTTCGCCACAAAAGTAACTCTCTCGAGCAACTCTTTTCGCACAGATTCGTATCTGTGGAGATCCTTATCTCGGTAGCTAGTGCCATCTATTGCAATACATCAAACGTTGATCACGAATTTTGCATCGATTGTCAGGCAAGTCTCCCTCCCACATGCAGCTAACGAAGCGAAGCATGTGGCAGGCAGATACAAGCCGAATGCATGTACATTCCAATGCCATTGTGCCACTCCTCAAGCGGCGCGGAAAACTCCCACAGCAGCGGAACAGCGGAGCAGCAGTTCGCGTAACCCAAATAAACAGAACAGCATGCCCGTAGTACAACTCAATAAACAGATATGTACATACATAATACATACATATATGTACATACACATGTACATTCCGCATCTGCATCTTTGCTGTTGCAGAAAGTTTGATGGCGCGGCAGGGCACGCCCCCATCATGGCACCCATGTCAGTCCATGTGACATGGAAATAAACTCTGTTTCCAGTCTGTCCCCCAAATCCACAGCCTCCTTTCAGCCGCTGCCCCCTGTTGTTGTTTAATGTAAATATGATTATTCCTTTTTGCCACGCCATATGCATATAGCACGAGTATATGTCGGCTCTGTGAATGGAGATTGCCCTGTGCAGGGCACAGGGAAGGAGCCGGGGCAGGGCATTGCAAACAATGGATGCTATTTATTATTGACATGTTCCCTGTTGCTGCCACTGCTGCATGCCCCGCAGCGCGGGTTATCAGTGTTACTGTCAGTGCTCCTCAGTGATAACCGCAGCGCACAGCATCGAACCGAATGTAAGCCTTTGACGAGCAGAGTTTCACTCCCAATGCTGTACAATGGAAAATCCCTTTTGTTTATTTGTGCGTCGGCAGAGTCGCTTTTATTGCTCTGCTCTCAATCGGTTTATGCGATTTTCATTTATTTAAATGCCGCTCTTTTGCCATTAATAGTTCTGCATGCAAATCCATATGGAAATGGGAAATGGGCAGAATGGAAAATCAATTCGCTTTAAGCGCGCGGGCTTAGCCAAGTTTATCACGCCCCACAGCAGAGCCCTTCGCTGTCCCTCTGCTCCAGCTCTAATCATGTAGCAGCAGACACACCAGAGAGCGAGTGAGAATGAAGCCAGAGAGCATCAAATCGTTTTGAAACCGATAGCCCATGATCTCTGGTCCATGATCCGTGTTCCACGATTAAAAATAGATTGAAAATCCATCGAAAAGTCAACGCGTCATGTGCGTGTGAGTATGTCATCAGAGACAGATGATAGATGAACTATTTCACTTAGAAATTTGTACATTTGGGATGGCAAAGGATAGAGAAAAGGAATCCCACGAAGTGAGACTTTGCTGCACTCGCACAATGTGCCCATAAATGAACGGATACTAAATCCGAAATATAATCTCATCAGCATCACCTTTCCAGGGAAAAGTTCTTACGGCTTTCAAAGATAACCCATCTCTGGGTAGTAGCAAAAGCTGTTTACAGCCGTCTTTACGATCTGACAGGTGTCTGGTGGAGCTGTTAATTCTGGCACATCGTTTGGCAAAAGGTGAGGCAATGTTCATAAGAGTTTTACTTCAACCAGCAGCTTACGGGGTGGGACAGAGCGACAGCTTCATTAGTTAATGGGCACTTCATTATGTGTAGGAGCCACTAGGAGAGCCACTGCAACAGGCTCCAATTAAAATATAGATCATGCAACCCGATCAACATCAGGTAAGAGCAAGAGCAGAGTCGCAGTTCGTGGAAGGCTTTTAGCACGATAAAGTGGGGAAGGCAGCCTCTCGTTTCCTACCCAATTATCGTGTTGGTCCGATCTTGGCTGCGTTCGACAAGAACACGACTCTCGCGACTCGAAAATAAACGAGAAACGCGTACAAGCGGGGCATGTGGCTTGTTATGGCAGAGAGACTCCGCAGAGGTGCTAAAAGTTGCCACAGTAGCGCTAGCTCGCTGGCTCGTTGTGTGTATCTTTCAGATACAGATACTTTGGCAGCTTGTGTGTTGCCCGTGTAAGCCGCTTAGCCGCTTAGCCGCTTAGCCGCGGCTCACTTCAAATACAAAAGCCCATCAATACCTGGGGGATAGCTATGCAAATATGAAAATATTTAAATTGGCCTAAACAAAAGCCACTCGAAGCGGCAACACGAAGCTCTCAATTTATTTAACACAGTTGGTGGTAGATCTAACACATCCGAGTCTTTCCCTCTGCCTTTTCCACTTATCTTGAAGCTACAACAAGTATCTTCGGTTTGTTTCGGTGGCTAATTTATGGCTTGGAGTGGCAGCCAATCGATCAACTCGCTGCTATTGGTGGGCGTGACAGCATTCCATTCCATTCCATTCCATTCCAGGCCAAACAAGTGTGAAGATTGCCAGAGAATTTCACTGCTTCGGGCATCAGCCATTTTTCTTTTAATTTTTTTTAGTTGTAATTCCCATAGCTGCTTCATTAGCAAACTAAACCCGCAATCAAATTAAATCAAAGCACCCAAAGAAAGGCAGGAAAAATACCCAAACGACCATTAAAAGGCGAGGAAAACTCCAAGAAAATTGTTTCAATGACCCCGAAAGGGGCAGTAAAATTAAATTCAAGTTGAATTGAATGCATTATTTTTTTTTTTTTGGGACATTTAAAATGTGTCGCGTGTCGTCCAGTGCCCCATTATGAGTATTTTTTGTGTTTATGATTTGAATCGAAATGGAAAACGGTAGGGGTACGAGATTCGATGATCTTTTGGGATCGTGTACGACCAACCCATCTGACGGGAGAATCGTATTTCATATCGCGCTGCGCTGTCAGCTGCCATACCCCATGGATTTTTATGACTCAAAGCTCTTACCCTGAAACTTTTAGCTCAGACACCACCCGTGGACACAGCGAAAGGGGAAGGGAGGGTGATCCTGCAACTGAATCTTCTGTCTCCTGTGTGGATCATCTGCGGGCTATAAATTAAATGCAAAATGAAATATTTAAGCCTTTTTGCCTTTGGCAACTGCCGGCAACAGCAACCCTTCGCTGCGCTGCACACAAATCAAATGCAAATTATGCAGCTTAATTGATTTATAGCAGTGCGTGGAATGGCTTTTGCATTTCTTTATTGTAAAAACCGCACACATTTCCCGGGCGGGCGGGTCTGCAAAACTTTTCAACTTTGTCTTAATTACCACTGTGGTCCCCCGTCCCCCGTCCCCCGGCCACAGTCCCACAGTCATCAGGGCAGACGAAGTTTCCCCCCGTCAGCAGCAACATGTTGAGCGATGCCCACAGATTCACATCCAACCCCCACTCAACCATGCGAGTATTCTGCATATTTGATTTCACGCCCCCGAAATGTAAATCAAAATGCATACGCAAAATTATGCACATCGCCATCGTTATCGTATGCGAGAAGAGCTCCCACACACACACACACGCACACATTTGGCTAGAAAACGGCAACTTCGATTTAACAAGCAGCGTGGCTGCACATTTCATGCCAAAAGCTACAACAACAAGAGCGACAACTGAAACGACAATCACTGCAAGCAAAGTGCGAAGGAGAAGGGAAGAAAGGGTAAACGGGAAACTTGTCATCAAAAAGACTGCCAAAAATAATGTTGAGCCCAACAACACAAGGCGCTGAGGCATAACAAGCAGACACACTGCACTGTGGGCAAAGTGAGCGAGGATTGGAGGAAATCAACCGAAAATCGACGTACAAAACAGTGAAATTTAAGAAGAGTTAATGGAATGCAGAAATTCAGAAGTAATTACAATTATTTCCTTTATTTAAAAAAATATTCTATTTCGTATCGTTCCACTGTGCCTGTGCATTCACCCCACACACACACACACACACAACTGACGTGCGTGCCGTACCCCCAAAACCACCCTTTCATATTCCCCCCGCCCACTATGCAAAAGTCACGTTTTGCCTCTACCCCGGCGCTCCCCGACCAATGTTTTACACACAGCATGCTCGCTCGTTTCTTGGCAGGGGGAGTGGATGGAGGCTGGAGCCCAAGAGTCAAGGAATTTCAGTTCCAAGAAATATTCAAAAATACAAAATTTAATGCTTGTTTTTGCGTGTCTCTCTCTCTGCTTCCTCTTCACCTTGTTTCTCTTTTTCTTTTGCATTTACGAAGCGTAAAATTTCTTCTTCTTCTTGGTTGTGTTTTAGTTTTTGTGTTTGTTGTTTGAGCTTGTTTATTTATTTTACTGTTTAACAACACCTGCAAGACAGACAGAGAATGAGCAAGAGAGGAGGAGAACGAGAGAGCGAGACAGTGGCAAAGGGACGCAAGACAGAGAGAGGGAATCTAAATTAAGCAAAAGCAAAACAAATACACATAATTTTCTGTGGAAAAGCAGCGCGCTTTTCTTCGTTGCATGAAAACTTTCAAGTTGTTCATCGTCATTGACACAAATTGCTATTGTTTCAGTTGCAATGTACTCACCCAACAGCCGCATAACCTCCTCCGGATTGAGAAAAACATTCAGATGGCCGGAAACTCTGCTGCCCGGGTGCAGGAGCAGTGCAGTCAGCGCCAGCAGCGACAGCGACAGCAATTTTTGACGACATTTAATGATGGAATTCATGGGGAAATTCATGATTTTTCCGACACTTTTTTAGCACGTTTGCAACAACAATTTGTAAACAATTGAGTGCGATAGAGAGAGCGCGACGCACTCACACAGCCACGCGCACAAGAGCGTCAACAGGAGAGAGAGAGCGAGGGTGCGCAAAATGTTAGCAACGGAAGTGCAGCGAAACGAACATTCTCTCCTATCGCCGCTTTCACAAGTCTTTTACTTATATCACTTTTTACACGCACTTTTAGTTAAGTTTAACAATTAGTTGCCCGTCAACGCGATTTTCAACTCTCGTTTAACGCATCGATCGGTTCGCTTCGCTTGTTTTTTTTGTTTTGAATACCATGAACAGTGTGCACGCGAAGCTATCGATCCAATATACCACCTGACCCTACAACAAAAAATATATACTTCAAATATACCGAAACCATACCAAAATATACCAAACAATATTTAAAATACCGTCAGCTGTTTCTCTAGAAAGACGCTCTGCTAATGTGTAGTGCTGTTAATGTATTTGTATGTCAATGTTAACTCACATAATGTTAAAATGAGCGCCACTTTTTGAAAACCCAAAATCCAATTTCATATGGCAAAAGTGCGCTGAGCTCAGTGATGAGCTGGAAATATGTACATATAAAATGTTATCAAACATTTAGGGAGGAGCAGACAACTTGAATTTCATTTAAATCAAATTAAAAGATGGGAAATTCATTTCAAACCAAAAAACTGTTATACCTGCTGACAATGTTACTTCAACATCTGGTTTTCCTTTGCAGCATGTTGAGTAAACATGTTTTGCGTGAGCAGCATGCTCGTTAACATAAAACTTAGACTGTTGAAATCTGTGATCCAAATGTTGCAGGCTTTCTAGCAACATTTGGGATGCCCACAATTATATTGAATGCAAAGTGCCCTTACTATTTTTCCCGATTTGAAAACTGTTCCGATATTCTAAACATTCGCCTCAAATCTATAAAACGTACATATGAATGTATGTGTGGGTCGGCAGAGGAGCAACTGTGCATTGGCCTCACGAAGCCACACGAAGCTTTTACACTGCGCAGCCCGAGGTTTTTTCCTCATCGATCTGCCAAAGACTAAACAAACACTTCCGCGATCTGGAAGTCCCTATTACTGTACGAGAGAGTTTTGCGTATCAATCCAGAAATGATTCGTGCATTCGATTACTGGGTCTCTGACCTTGAACCAAATAGTTCGGCTTAGTGTTCTTATCAGCGAAGCCCGAAACCAAAACAGAGACATCGCCTTATAGCGCCTCTACGCATGGGCTGGGCGATAGCGATAGCGCCTAGGGGATGTGGATGAACATCAACCCACTTGACAGTTCGACCGCAGCGACGATGCCAAATGGCCAGAAGGCACGGAAGAAAGGGAACCTGCTGCTGGGCTTGCTCGGGCTGCTCGGCTTTGTGGTCCTCTCCTTGGATGCAGTGAGCGGGAAGCGCTGCAAGGTGCCGTACGAGAAGGTGCAGGAGAAGTACTGCTACTTCATAGCCGATGAGGAGCCTCTGGTGAGTGGTGGACTTCGCAATGAATCATCGATCATCAGCACTCTTGCGCTCTTGGCTCGCAGCACACTTCGTTCCACAACTTCTGCTACCAGGAGAAGAAGACCTCGCGCGTCTGCCTAGACAGCGAGGAGGAGATGCGCATCCTGGCGCGGCACCTCTACGAGATCGGCTTCCAGAACGGCACACAGTTCTGGAGCGCCGGCCATCGTTGGCCCGGCGATATGCGCTTCTACTGGAACTACTTCGGCCGCGCTCGGGCTCTTAACTACTCGAACTGGGCACCGGACGAACCCACTCCCCGAATGGGACGCAACTGTCTGATTCTCACACTGCGCGCCGGCGAGCTGTTCATGAGCAGCGAGTCGTGCTACACCCGAGCCGTCGATATCTGCGAGCAGACACTCAACAGCGAAAGCGACTCCCGAACTGTAATTCACTGAAATGATTTGTGTTTGGGAATGCTCTTTTGCTAGGGCAGAAATTAAATGAGGCATAAAATATTGCAAATTATTAAAGAGCTGTTTGCATGTCTTCAAGTGAGAGGGAATTATTTTCCCTACAACATCTGCAAGCATCGAATAAGAGCATGCGCGATCAAAGAGCACAAAGAGAGTTATTAAGCTACCAATGAACAATGCGTAACAATGCTGTCAATAAGTGGGAGTGCAAGGGCTCTGCGATGAACTCAAGCGACGAGACCTCCTTCTATAATTGCTTCATGCACACGGTAAAATGACTTACAGAGTGACGTCTTCGCCACAGTGCACTCTCTTTCGTGCACCCCTACTAAATCCCCATCCCTCTCCAGGGCTTGTAAGTGAAGCAATTATATAAGGAGGGCCCGTCGGCAAAATTTCTTCCCTAACAATGCTGTCAACAAGTGCGAGTGAAAGGGCTATGCGCTATATGTGTGAGTGAAACGACAATGCACTATGGGGCATTTGGCCTCTTTTTGTGGCATTAATTAATAACTTCCAAACGAAACAATATTTTTTGATATAGTTTTCTGGTATGAGTTAAGGGAAGGTCCTTTGAAAAATCGAATTTTTATTTTATTTTTAAATTGAATCAAACAAAAAATGATGGGAATATGTGAAGCAATGCCATATTTTACTTAAAAGGTCGTGGCCGGATTTTTAAAAATGGAAAAGTAGAAGATAATCGGGTTTTTACATCGACTTCCTTGTATACTGCAAGCAGCTTTTTTTCTTTGAGTTGTTGAATGTGGGACACAATAGCACTGGAAATGTCTCAACGTTATTATAATTGTACAATTGAGCACGAATTTAGCCAATCTGCACAGTTTTTTTCGATTTGTTTCAAGTTTTCCGTGAAAATGTTCAATTTAATCAACAAACTGTAAAAAAAAGTTCTTCAAAGGGTCTACAAATAACCCTTATCGTTCTCAAGGCTAGTGACAGGTATTAACACTTAAATTCAATGCAATTCGCATCTTCTTCTGCAATTTTCTTCTTCACTCAGTTTAACATTGCTAACAACTCCGAAAATCTAAACTTTAGGTTATGTTACGAAGATTCAAATATCTGCGAAGACGCAGAAAAGCGCAAGAAAAAATAACATCAATTGGATTAAGAACTGAATACTCTACAATATCTATGCAGTTTAATGCTTCCGGCGGGAGCCGAACACTTTGTAAGTCTATTCAAAGACAAATTTTCGTCACTAATATGGACTTGTTAAGAAACTAGCCATTAAACATATTATGAGGTAAATTTTGTAATTTCAAACTCACAAACACCTTTTTAATACCTGCCTGTATCGATAATATTGTAAAATTGGTAAATTGATCAATTTTTGCACTTTAAACTTCATGAACAAAATCCGTTTTCCGATAACTTTCTATCGTTCGTAGCAAACAGCTGACTTTAACAGCTGTTATCTTAACAGGGGTGCGCACTGTTAATTTTTTGGGTACGTAACATTACGGACTGATCTTATTCCTATGTAAATCTGTAAATATTACTTTTTTTTTACTTTTGACAAATGAGTTTCGGCCAGGAAAAGTGGTCAAATGCCCCATAGTGCAATGGAGTGTGCTGATTAACCCTTTGATGGCATGGGGTTTAAAATTGCCCATTGCCAGAAAGGGAGTTGAAGTTTTCCTTTATATTTTGATTTTTAATAATTTACTACTTGAAAGTAGTCGTTCTTGCTGCAAAAAAATATAATTTCATATTGTGCATGGAGAGGACTAATATATTCCCAAGCTTCCGAATCTTTTGTCATTATCAAAAGTATTATAAACAACTGGCCTTTATAAAATGCAATCAGTCACTAGAAAGCGTTGGCATCGAACTGGCATAAAGGTTCATCCAAAATGAGAATATTTGCTATTTTATGCATTTCTCTTTGTCAGAGTGCGGCCTCATTAGATCGGGTTGGCAAAGGGTTCTACTATATTGGCAATGAAGACAGCGTAAGTGGAAGATGGCATAAATTAATAGTGAAATGAAAAGCGCCACCCTTCATCTTTTCAGTCGTTAAAATACTGTGACTGGTTTCATTCGAGAAGTGACTGCTGGCAGCACAACAGCCAGCTGGTGTCTGTGGAAACGCTTGAGGAGCTAAAGGCACTCGAGGAGTATGTTTCCTCCAAGGACTTTGCCGACGGCAGCACCTTTGCCACGTCTGGCCATAGCTTCGATGCCGACATGCCCTACTCCTGGGAGGGCGTCAAACAGCCGCTGACCTTTACCCGCTGGATGCCCGGCGAGGAGAAGCCCCTGTTCAAATCCTACCTCAGTCTGGTGCTCTCCAACTCGTCATTGTACATGCGACAAACCTTCGGATACGATAACTATTATATCTGCGAATATCAGACACCACTTTTGAGTATTTGGCTATCCCTGAACAAAGTGAACTTGGTAGTTCTGCTCTGTTTAATACTCATTCTGATTTATCTCTTGATATTTGGAAAAAGGCGTAAAACAGGATCGAGCGCAAAAGCTGTTGACAAAGAAAAACTTATAGTAGTATAATTAATGCAAATAATGGAAATATTTTGATTTGTGGAATGTTCAATGTGCGTTACAAAAATCTGTTATTCCCCACAAATACAATATTCCCTATTTAATCTTCGGTTCTTTTTGGTTCTTTCGAACTGCGTGATTTCCCCAGATTTCCCCAATAAGTCACAATCACTTGCATTGTATATCAGCATTGTATTGCTGAATCAGCTTGCTGATAAAAGCAAACAATCTTGATCGAAGTCCCTAAAGCAACTAACTATGCTCGTTTTTTGAAAATGTTTCAAAATTTGTATTCTTTCAAAACACTGACTACTATCATGAAGCAAACTATTAAAAATTAAATTATGAAACAATTATTATGTTTTTTTCACATTGCCTTCAAATGATTGATCAGCACACTCCATTGTCGTTGCCCTCACACCTACAGCGAGAGCCCTCTCACTCGCACTTTTCACTCGCACTAGTCCATAATTTTTTTCCGACGAGACCTCCTTATATAGTTGCTTTATGGCTAAGGCCACTCGCGAGCCGGACCGGACCGATCGTGCGAACGAGTGCGAAGTGCCCACCCCAAGAGCGCTATCGGAGAGCGCTAACAGCACTGTAAAGGGTTTCGCTAACAGCACTGTAACGCACGCTGTTAAACTGGGCTGTCAACAGTGTTCTGCTGGCGCTGCTTTTCTGGGCAAAGCTATGGGTAATACCGATTAGGCATAAAATAATTCAAGCAACTTACCAGTTCATATGGCAGACTTTTATTTATGTCGAATAGTTTTGCAACGCACTGTACTCTCCTGTTAGTATTGGGTTTGAAACACCTTTGGCTACGCTTCTGTCTGTTGGACAGAATTTGTGCCATAATCAAACAAGAACTTAATTCAATAATTCAGCATCTCTCACTCCTTCCTCTGTCTCCTCTCTCTCTCTTTCTCTATCTCCTTCCTTGCTGCCTGCTCTGTGCGGAAAGTGTCTGCCGTGTGTTGGCTTGTAATACAAATAAATTTCGACTAAACGCTTTTAAACAGTCACCGACAATGCGTCGTCGCGTCGTCTGCGAGGCACCAGGAGGCCGAGACAGGCAACACGAACGGCAATGGAGCCCATTCCGCCCACGCTGGCTGCTGCGGCAATTAACTCAAATTGATAATGACAACGAAAAGTTGTAGGAGCTGGCTATGGGTCTGGGTCTGGGTCTGGGTCTGGGTTCTGGGTGGTAAATCGTTGACGTGATTTCATTTGAAGTGCATGCAAAAGTGGCGACACATTTCGACACGTCCTTTGACAACGCCCTTTGGCATAATTAAAACGAAATAATTTTCGACAAGTTTGGTTTTGGCTTTTTTTGTCGCCTGTCGCCTGTCGCCTGTCCTTGCTCCTGGCTTACTCATCGACTCGTGGCACGTAGATTGCGTCTGTCATGTGGAGGGCGAAACTTGCTCCTACGGAAGCTCTCTAGTTCCATGTTGGAATTTTTATTTAATTTGCTTCTGCTGTCGTGGGGTATTAGCTTCTTTTACTTCCTCCGTGCGGCTGCCTCTCCTATTTTGTTGTCTTCGCCGTTTGCTGCATTGTTTGAAATTAATTTCACTTGTCGTACATTGAACCAACTCCAGAAGGGCCTCAGCCCATTCCCATTCTTCTCGTTTATCAAAGGATGTGTGCGTGCCGTTGTCAATGCCCCTTAGCACTGCATATGTCTAAGGAGACAAATAGGGCAAAAACGCTGTTGAGCAGGCACAAAATTCTGCTTTGGAGCTGGATGCAATCAACGCGCTAATCATTTTGGCAGAAGGCAGTGCACTTCCCGGCCAACCGGCTAACTGACGGACTGAGTGACATTCCGGGAAGCCAACAAATCCCGGGCCATCTGCCTGCTGCATTTTCCTCCACTCGTACACAGAGCACGGGCCGAGGCCAACTGACAGCCACAGCTAACTTATGTGGCCAGAACTCGTTCCAGCATCGGCAGAGTACGATGGAAAGGAAAGAGTTTCTGTGCACAGTGCAGACAGGACAACAGGGATTGCATTTTCATGCATTTTTTTTCTTCACTTGGAAACACTTTACATGGCCCTTAGATCATGGCTGGGTTGGCTGTGATCAATTGTCGCTTGGATATATTTTATTATTCGATCCACCGTCATCATCCTTAGCCAGAGCCTTGGCCTGCGGCTGTCTCTCGCACATTAATCACTGACAATAATGAACTTCCGGGCTACTGCTGTTGTCATTAGCGCCATGTTGCCGAATTTATCGTGCGACTTGCGAGAGAAACGAAGCGATGTGGAACACAAGCTGGAACCCGGCCTGGTCTAGACTCTAGACACACAGACTGACCTCTGCTCGTTGGCTTTTCTTTGCTTATTTTTTTGTGATTTTTATCGCTTCGATTTACGACTCATAAAAATGTTAGAGGAGATACTTTTATATGTTGCCGCCATCCGCCGTCCGCCATTCGCCATCCGCCAATAGCCGCCTCTCCTTGGTGGCCATTTAATGCTCGACTGCTCCTGCAAGTCACTTGGCAGTGTCTGTGCGAGTCTCAATGTCTCAATGTTGTTGATTTTATGGGTTTTTGGCGATGCAGAAATTATTCGCATGCTGCCCAGCGGCGCAGTTGGACCAAATAAACAAAGTGAAAGCCATTAGAAGTGCAGAGAGAAGCTTGAACTCACGAGAGGATGACCCCTAGGTTGGGTTCTAGTAAGTTGAGGGGTTAAGCACTCACCTTACCCGGTAGCTGCTAATCCAACCCCCAACCCTTTTGGCATGTGCCATCATAGAGCTGATCTCATCTGAATACAATTTGTTATTTGCCCACACACGAGTTGGTTAGTTAGCAGCAATTTCCCTAGCAACATCCTGCATTTGACAGTTATTAGATTAACACCTATCTGCCATAGAACGGGACCTGTCTCCCTCTCTCCCATCAGTGTGGGACAGACAACGGATACTCGATTACTCTCTCTCTCTCTCTCTCACACTCTTCATGTTGCTGTTGCTGAGCCGGAGCCCTGCACCCAGGCGATGTTGCACGAAATTGGACAAACAATAAAGCGCTCAAAATGTATGCGAACATAAAATCTCGGCCAGAGAACGGTTCGGTTTGGTAGGGGATGAGTAGGAGCTGGTCGAAACAAAAGGCAGCTCTGTCTGTCGGCCATGTTCAATGATAAAGAGGCAAAAAGGGAGCACCGCTCCAGCATGTGATGTCAATTTCAGACAAACAACCCAGCGAAGGCGCAGGCAACATGCATACATACATATGTATGTATATAAACATATGTATGCATGCATCTACAAACCAATATACATATATTGATGGATGAACGGGATATTGATATATACAATATGTATGTATGTGTCTATCTGCCTTATATGACATTCAAGATGGTTGGACTTTGCCCCCCACCCCCCTGACTCTGTCATCTGTCGACTGTCCATTTTGAGCAGCACATAAAAAGCTGTTGCCGTTCGGAGTGACTCTCGGTTGTGGGAGTGAATTTTCAGTTGAAAGCTGTCAGTGGCTGTTTAGATTTACGTGCCGCACTGCAGCCATGTCGGATGAATGGTGAAGGGACAACACCCACAGAGCAGCTGGACCCCAGTACCCCCCATTTCCCCCATTCCACAATTGCACTTTGTAACAATGCAAAAACACACACACACACACACTCCACCCTGGATGGCAGACGCCCGTTGTCATCGCTCTGACTTTTTGTTAATGAAAGTGTCAGCTAGACAAACGCACTCAAACCCACCACTCACCTCCACTCATCTCATCTCACCTCAACTAACCCATGGAGCACTCACCCTCCCCAGACCGACCCATCATCATCATGCCTTTTGTGTCGGCTTTCGGCCTATTTGGAGCTGCTGTTCTGTGGACCTTCCATTTTTGGCCAATAAATTATGATCTGGCTGATTTGCACTGTGGCCGCTGGCCATTGTAAGCGCTGGGAGCGCTCCTGCGATATTGCTGTCTGGTTTTGTTCAGAGAACATTTCATTTAGCAATTTGCACTCGAGCTCCTCCTAATGGGGGATATTTTATGATTATTTTGTAAATTATTTATGTATGGTAAAAATAACTTTCAGACTAAATTAGTCTGCGTATAAGCCCCAAAAGTATGCACGCAAATTACAGAGCCCAACGATTCATCAAATCTTCATCAAGTGCGATTCTTCAAGGCATTCGTAGGCTTTCTTCTAATCTTTTAATACTTAATCAGCTTACTTACTTATTGGCTCATATTTAGCTACTCAACCAGAGCATTTGTTCCGGGTTAATCGTATATTATCCGGCACTTTAATCAAATCGACAGAAAAACCTTTTCAGCAATTAGCGAGTGGAGTTGGCAGTTGGCACCTTTCTGACTCTTACAGTCCTTATGCTCCATAATCCTAAATGCTTCCAACTCAATTTACATGCCAAAAGGCGCAAGAAGGATGAAGAAGGGAAGTCTTGACTTAGGGCCAGGGCACATTATTAAAATGCGGATAAGTTGCGACGTGCAACGATGTGTTGAATGAAAGTGAAAAGCTGTGCGTGGGGCAATTAGAGAGCTGCGGAGGAGCAGGAGCAGGAGCAGGAAATTCTCGAGCCTGAAAACTAAGTCGGATAAGGGCAGAGAGATGTAATTCGCATGGTTTGGTTTTTAATTAATTCAAAGCACACGAAACAGAGCCCAGATGTAGGCACTGATAGTACCTCACTCACTTTCTGCCTGTGTCACTGCCTCTCTCACTCTCTGCCTGTGTCACTCTCTCTGCCTCTGCCTCTGCCTCACTCTCTCTTTCTTTGCCTCTGCCTCTGCCTCTCTCTATTTCTCGCCGTTCCAAGTAGGTTAATGCTGAGATGGGAGATGCTGAGATAGAGAGGGCGTCCCCACCAGACGCCTTAATTGACGGGCGTTACAAAATATTTACCGTTGCTCGTACATTTACCGCTACCTTTGCCTTGCCTCACCGCTACTAGGGGAAATGGAAAAAGATGATAAAGTGCGCAAA